CACACAAACACACATACACACTATTACACACACACACACACATACACACTATCACACATACACACAATCGCACACACACACACACATACACACTATCACACATACACACACTCACACACACATACACACTATCACACAAACACACTATCACACATACACACAATCACACACACACATACACACTATTACACGCACATACACACTATCACACACACACACAAACACATACACTATGACACATACACACAATCACACACACACAAACACAAATACACACTATCACACACACACATACACACTATAACACATACACTCAATCACACACACACACACAAACACACATACACACTATCATACATACACACAATCACACACACATAAACACACATACACACAATCACACAAACACACATACACACTATCACACACACATGCAAACACACATACACACAAACACACAAACACACATACACACTATCACACATTCATGCAATCACACACACACATACACACTATCACACATACACACAATCACACACAAACACACACACACACACTATCACACATACACACAATCACACACAAACACACATACACACATACACACTATCACACATACACACAAACACACATACACACTATCACACATACACACAATCACACACACATACACACTATCACACACACACAATCACACAAACACATACACACTATGACATATACACACAATCACACACACAAACACACATACACACTATTACACACACACACAAACACGCATACACACAATCACACACACATACACACAATCACAAACACACATACACACTATCACAAGTATTCTTTCAAGGCTTCTCCTCTTCCTTTTGCAACCTATTACACAAACGCACGCACATACTGGTGCACATAATATAATGTCACAAACACATGCACATACTGGTGCACATAATATAATGTCACAAACACACGCACATACTAGTGCACATAATATAATGTCACAAACACACGCACATACCGGTGCACATAATATAATGTCACAAACGGGTGCACATACCTGTGCACATACATATAATGTCACAAACCGAAGCACATACCAGTGCACACACATATAATGTCACAAACAGACGCACTTACCGATGCGTATACATATAATGTCACAAACAGATACACATACTGGTACACACTCATATAATGTCACAAACAGGCGCACATACCAATGCACATACATTTAATGTCACAAACAGATTCACATACATATAATATAGAAAAAAGACGCACAGTTACACACTTACATACACCTACACGCATATCCCCACACACACGCACAGGTTACGTTTACATACACACAGAAACAGCGACCTTGTCTTACAATCAATGCTCACACTTTTCTCCTAATTGTGTTTATTCTCCGCTTTCCCGGAGGCAACTCTGTGCTACTTTCTTGCCGCCCCGCTGCGCCCTACTTCATTTCAAACATTCTTATGATAATGAGTTTAACTGAAGACCAGCTCATCCCAGCCCTAGGCCTAATGCTACAGAACCTACTGATACTCTCGCGCAGGCCTGATGATTTATGTAGAGTGAGGCAGGGAACACAGACAGGGAGGGAACATAGGCAGGGAACACAGGCAGGGGCAGGGAGGGAACATAGGCAGGGGCAGGGAGGAAACATAGGCAGGGGCAGGGAGGGAACATAGGCAGGGGCAGGGAGGCAACATAGACAAAAGATGCAGGCAGCTGGTGCAGACATGGAATACGTGAAGAAAATATAGGCAAGGGGCGCGAGGTTGTGGGGGGGGGGAGGGGGGGGGGGGGGGGGGCGATAATCTTCTTTTAGGAATATGTAGCGACTGTTCAGTCAACGGAAAGGAGGTACACATAGGGAGCAGGTCAACGTGTGAGGTTTTGCTGTTCTCACTAGGGACTGAGGGAGGTTGACATTGACATAATGTAGGATGAATGGGCACCAGTTTTCAGCATGCCGACACTACAGGAACTCATGTATATATTTTGAGATATGCAAGAGTGCGAGATAATAAACAAGCGGATTTATTGGCTACTAAAGCGACGGCGGCAGGAAAACTCGCACTGGACGGGGGAGACATTCTGAAGACTATATAGGAACGAACGCTGATGAAAGTTACCAGGCAGATACTGGTAGTCTGGTAGTCTGGTAGTCTTAGTTTCAGCTTCATAGCAAACGGGTCGCCCCATCTTTGCTCCGCTCCTGTGCCAGCGAAAAACACCCAGAATGTTTATCACAGTCCCTTGTGGAAAGATTGACAGACTGCTGTCTCAGCAAATCTAGCATACACTCGCATTAACGCACATGGTAGCCATCCGAAGTGCTAACACAAACAGTCCAACATTAGAAATGCAGTTCATCATTGATGATAGCAGAACTTGTCGTCAACAGATCAGCAGTTGCCCGTGCGATCAATTTTAATACGGGTCCCGCCAGCATTGCACGACCGGCATCGCGCCATTTTCTGAATCTACAATTCACAGTAAGCTTGCAGTTATATTGAATTCACGATGAGCTAGGCCAGAAATGACGCGTGGATAGGAGAAAAAAAAAAGTAAAGGTAAAGTCGGGAGAGGTGAACCAGCGTCATTGCACACGGTTATAAACCATACGTGCTCTGTCACTCAGTGCGGACAGCTGATAAGAAACTGTCCGCCTGCGTCACCGTCCGCACGAAACTCTGTAGCTACAGCGAACTTCCTCCATTTACCCCAGAGTGTTAATTTTGGTACCCATTCCCGGTTTCGAACAATAGCCGTGGACTGCAGCGATTCGCAGCTGGATTTAAAAGCAAGTCTCCTATCCACTGCGCTAACGCGATGAGTAGGAGAACACAATGACATGTGTACAACCAGTTACCGATTCATGAATTCACATAATACGACACCGGACACACCTATTGGTGCTCACTCTCCCTCAGCAAATGTTTTAATCTGTAGATACTGTTCCCGTGAGATACTGATTATGAACATGTCGTTCTCTCCCCCTCACACGTCGCTGCTGGCATTAACCACATCCTAATTTCTCGTTCACACATTCTTACACATATTATTTCATCTAAGCCCCTGTCTTCAAACAGCATTCGATCATAAAAAGTCTTCAGTATGTCCCCTTTGTCAGGTAGGAGTGTTCTTGTAGCCAAGAAATCCGATCTTTCATTTTCTCCCGCTCCTGCAGAAAATCCGGACAGTATATCTGCTTGTCCCTGTAATAATGACGTTCTGATGCTTGGTAGCGCCTCTCATGACACGTGTGTCCCTTTTCAACCTACTGCAGTACCGATTCAAATACGACACTATCATTCCTCTCTAAAAACTCGATTTTCTGCTATCCATCTCATAGCTGCAGTGATTGCCTCCACATTCATCCTCATGCTTGAAATCGTAGATAAAAAGCTAGTTTGTTGTGTTTCTCTTCATTCTAACTGAAAAACCCCAGCCCAGATCTTACGCAACGATGAACAGAACCATCTGTGTTTACTATTGCATCATACAGCCAAACGTTTTTATCTATCAGTTGTTGGACGTGTAATTCTGTCATACTGTTACACAACTCTCTACATTATTTTCCTGATATTATAATGACCCGATGGAAACTGTTGTTGTGCGTTCTAACAGACCCATTCTTGCCCCGTGTCCTAGTGCGCTGCTGGAACAGTCAATGGCTACACTGTAAGAGATGTGTGGCAGGTGACAGAGCACCTACTCTGTGGGTGTATCTGGTATGCCATGAAGCCATTTCTGAAATAGTCGGCAGTAATCAGCTTCTTCTTTTCTTTTTTTTTTTCTTCTTCTTCTTCTTCTTCTTCTTCTTCTTCTTCTTCTTCTTCTTCTTCTTCTTCTTCTTCTTCTTCTTCTTCTTCTTCTTCTTCTTCTTCTTCTTCTTCTTCTTCTTCTTCTTCTTCTTTTTTTCTTTTTTTTTCTTTTCCACCTTGTACCTCATCGAAGTGTTGAGGAGATAGTTGCCCCATTAAGTGATCTGCTTACCGCACATTCGCGTCTCTGGCCATGCCACGTCATTTAATTTGTGAGAAGTCAGACAAAGCTGAACATATTTGCCAAATGGATTTAGCTGGTAAATGAGGTCTCCGTCTCATTAAACCTCGTAGCGTGTTTTACAGGTTTCTCACGTCCCATCTCACCACCCCCCCCCCCCTTTTTCCCCCAATTCTGATCACCGCAGCCGTATACTTTTTTGAAATTCTTGAGCATCATATTAACGATAACTCCGAAAGGGGAACGAAAACTCTTCAATGAGTTACAGAACATTATTCGATGCGATTCAATGAAGGATTTCGCGGCGAAGACATTATCCTGACATGCGGAATGATGTTGGATAAAAACGACTGTGTGTTGTTGTTGTTGTGAATGTGAATGGCAATGTTTATCGAGAATTATGATCAAGTTCACATTTGCCACCGTTTAAAATAGAATCAAAGCCTTCTGGAGCTAGCAGACGAGGTGCTGTACTCAAACCAAGGGAAGTTACCGTGGATTTTTCCTGTAGGTTCAAGGAAGGCAGAAAATGTGCTCGTTTATGAGTGTTCTCTCTCCACTCACCCTCCCCTGCAGACTTTTCGTGAACCCCTTTCCCCGCTTGTGAAAAGCTCATTAGAGATGCTTGCTCGCCCCTGTTTTAGTGGTTCAGTCGGTGTACCCGCTACCCAAGATATTTTCATTGAAGCTGCCGACACACAAGTGTGTCGCGAATGTTCACATACAAGCACTGGCAGACCTGAACTAGAGCTATTTTACCAACTGGATGCCTCGTGTCATTGACATAGTGGATATGACAATGTGGAGAAATGGATTACTCAGACGGACGTGTGCTGGTGGCTTGTTGTTGCCGTGCTGTGTTAGCTAATGTGTAGTGATGCATGCACCGGAGGATCTGCCAGTGAGTGCCGTGAGGTAAACTGACGTGTTGAGTGTGTGGTGGCTGGAGGATGGCGTTCTCTAGGAGAAAGAGCCGCAGCATGTTGTTTTTCTTTTCCAAGTCGAGCAAAAGCAAGAGGAGATCTATGGCAGGTAGGTCACAGTTGAAGATGCTGAGAGTTGTTTGTTGTTTGTTAGTGCGGGCTCAGCAAGGCTGCGTCATCTGCCGCAGCTGTCTGTTACTGAAGACTGGCGCTCTACTAGACGATCTACTTCATTTGAGAGAGAGAGAGAGAGAAGGGAGAGAGAGAGAGAGAGAGAGAGAGAGAGAGAGAGAGAGAGAGAGAGAGAGAGAGAGAGAAAGAGAGAGGGAGAGAGAGAGAGGGAGAGAGAGAGGATAAAAAGAAGCGAGATAGAGAGAAGAGGAGAGAGAGCGATAGGGACAGACAACGAGGGCAAAAAAGGAGAAGAGGGAAGGAAGGAGGCGAAGAGAGGGTTAGAGAGAGAGAGTGAGCAGAAAATAGAAAGAGGGACAGAGAGGAGAGAAAGGAGCAAAGAGAGATGGAAGTAGACCGAGTGAAAGGAAGGCAGAAGAGAAAGTGCAGTCTACAGAGGGAGAGAGGAGACGAGTGGTATATGAGGACAGGAGAAAGAGTGAGTGAGAGAAGTGGGAGGTATTCGAGAGTAGAGGAGAATAAATGGTAGCAATAGAGGAAGGTAGGTAAGAGGGATGTGTGTGTATGGGGAGGGGGGAGGGGTATGAATGTGTATATGTGTGTGTGTGTGTGTGTGTAAACACACCGAAATCGCGGGTGATCTGTATTATGGTAATGTATCGTAGCAAGTAGTGTAAAGTGTTACGCATTGGTGTAATGTAGTGGTATAATGTTGTGGGGTTTGTAGTATGGAGTGTTACCTAAAAGTGTTAGAAAATGTTGTTGCAAAAAGCACACCATGCAGCATTGGGCATTGAGTAAAGGTCATGTTTTTGTACAGATACTGTTTGTGTGAATAATGTAATGCATAACACTATAATAATACTTTTTTCAACAAATAAATTAGTGATACTAAATGTATATGACTGTAGACTGGAATATTTAATGTTAGTTATTTTTGATACCGAATTATTATGATGATGATTGATAGTCTAACTTGATGACTAAACTCTGACAGTATAGTTTACCGACCAGTTACTGTTGTCTTTGTCTGTAGATTCCTAAAGTGGGTTTAATAAATCAAGACTGCTTAAATAAGTAATATTGTGGATAATTTAATAAATTAAATAATAGTAAATCAATACAGGAATAATTTATTTGTTATTAATTAGTCAATGCAATAATAAGAAAATAAATCAATTTTTATATAATAAATTACTTGACATTCACCCACTCACTTCTCATTCTTCAAGGGCCTTTCTCAACATCAAAAACTAGACTAAATCTTCTCATTCGTTCCAAGTTTAAATTGCATATTTGCCTTTCTGGTTCTCAAACATTCTACATATATATCCTGCTTTTCTCATCTGGCACACTTCAGCCAACTTGCATATTTGCCTCTCTGGTTCTCAAACATTCTACATATATCTCCTGCTTTTCTCATCTGGCACACTTCAGCCAACTTGCACTCATGCCTCAAGTTATTAATTACTCTGTCTGTTCATGCATATATTATACTTTGTACTTGATACCAGTAAACCGAATTCCCGCACATAGTTTTGCTTACTAGATGAACTAATTTACACTAATAAAGAATTAGAAAATGATACAGTCGTGAAATTTCATATTCCACATGGTTAGTGCAGTGTGTAAAGTGTTATGTGGTGGCAGTGAAATGTAGTGTATTTTATTTCATAACATTGTGAAATTCTTTAATGCAGTATAGCACATATTTACAGTGTTAAGTAATGCTGTAATATGGTGATGGATCCTAGGGTACAGTGTTAAGTAATAGTGTAATGTAGTGTTGCACGGATTTGTGTAATATAAACACACACACACACACACACACACACACACACACACATATATATTTGTATGTGTGTAAAACTGCTGCTGGTGGAATCATTTGGTGTGTTTTTTGTGTGGTGGTTTGTAGAAAAATAAGAAGAGAAATATTGACATTTTAAAAGATCTGAACATCAAGGAAGATTGGCTAATAAACAGCATCCTTTCTCGAAAGCTGAAATATTTTGGTCATATGAAGCGCCAAGAGGGATTGGAAAAAAAGTATAGCCGAAGGCATGGTACCAGGAAGGAGGGGCAGGATCCGACCGAAACGAAGAGGGGCACAGGATATCAGTGATTCCTTGAGTGTGAAAGTGCATGAGGCGGGAGAACTGGCGAGAGACCGAGCTTTTTTCAGGCATACAGTGATGAGAGCGACGTTCTGCAAAGGACCTGCTACATGATGATGATGATGATGATGATGGTTTGTAGAAACATTGTAGTTAGCAGTCTTCTCTGTGCTCTACTGTACACTGTAAAATAATTAGTTAACTAGAGAGCAAAACACATTTAATATTGTTTATAGCACAGAGTGTGTTGTGACAGAATCTATTACATTCTATTGTTGCACAGTATATGTATTACATACAGTCTATTGTAGCAGAGTTAGTGTATTACAGTCTACTGAAGCACAGTGTGTGTAGTACTGTTTACTGAAGCACAGTATGTGTATTACAGTCTACTGTAACACAGTGTGTGTATTACAGTCTATTGTAGCACAGTGTGTGTATTACAGTTGTATTACAGTCTACTGTAACACAGTGTGTGTATTACAGTCTAATATAGCACAGTGTGTGTATTGCAATCTGTTGTAGCACAGTGTGTGTATTGCAATCTGTTGTAGCACAATGCATGTATTGCAATCTGTTGTAGCACAATGCATGTATTGCAATCTGTTGCAGCACAATGCATGTATTGCAATCTGTTGTAGCACAATGTATGTATTGCAATCTGTTGTAGCACAGTGTATGTATTGCAATCTGTTGTAGCACAGTGTATGTATTGCAATCTGTTGTAGCACAGTGTGTGTATTGCAATCTGTTGTAGCACAATGCATGTATTGCAATCTGTTGTAGCACAGTGTATGTATTGCAATCTGTTGTAGCACAGTGTGTGTATTGCAATCTGTTGTAGCACAGTGTATGTATTGCAGTCTATTGTAGCACAGTGTGTGTATTGCAATCTGTTGTAGCACAGTGTATGTATTGCAATCTGTTGTAGCACAGTGTGTGTATTGCAATCTGTTGTAGCACAGTGTGTGTATTGCAATCTATTGTAGCACAATGCATGTATTGCAATCTGTTGTAGCACAGTGTATGTATTGCAATCTGTTGTAGCACAGTGTATGTATTGCAATCTGTTGTAGCACAGTGTATGTATTGCAATCTGTTGTAGCACAGTGTATGTATTGCAATCTGTTGTAGCACAGTGTGTGTATTACAGTCTACTATAGCACAGTGTGTGTATTGCAATCTGTTGTAGCACAGTGGGTGTATTGCAATCTGTTGTAGCACAATGCATGTATTGCAATCTGTTGTAGCACAGTGTATGTATTGCAATCTGTTGTAGCACAGTGTGTGTATTGCAGTCTGTTGTAGCACAGTGGGTGTATTGCAATCTGTTGTAGCACAGTGAATGTATTGCAATCTGTTGTAGCACAGTGTGTGTATTACAGTCTACTATAGCACAGTGTGTGTATTGCAATCTGTTGAAGCACAGTGTATGTATTGCAGTCTATTGTAGCACAGTGTGTGTATTGCAATCTGTTGTAGCACAGTGGGTGTATTGCAGTCTGTTATAGCACAGTGGGTGTATTGCAATCTGTTGTAGCACAGTGAATGTATTGCAATCTGTTGTAGCACAGTGTGTGTATTACAGTCTACTATAGCACAGTGTGTGTATTGCAATCTGTTGAAGCACAGTGTATGTATTGCAGTCTATTGTAGCACAGTGTGTGTATTGCAATCTGTTGTAGCACAGTGGGTGTATTGCAGTCTGTTATAGCACAATGTATGTATTGCAATCTGTTGTAGCACAATGTATGTATTGCAATCTGTTGTAGCACAGTGTGTGTATTGCAATCTGTTGTAGCACAATGCATGTATTGCAATCTGTTGTAGCACAGTGTGTGTATTACAGTCTACTATAGCACAGTGTGTGTATTGCAATCTGTTGAAGCACAGTGTATGTATTGCAGTCTGTTGTAGCACAGTGTATGTATTGCAGTCTATTGTAGCACAGTGTGTGTATTGCAATCTGTTGCAGCACAGTGTGTTTATTGCAGTCTATTGTAGCACAGTGTGTGTATTGCAATCTGTTGCAGCACAGTGTGTTTATTGCAGTCTGTTGTAGCACAGTGTGTTTATTGCAGTCTGTTATAGCACAGTGAATGTATTGCAGTCTGTTGTAGCACAGTGTGTGTATTGCAATCTGTTATAGCACAGTGTGTGTATTACAGTCTGTTGTAGCACAGTGTGTGTATTGCAAACTGTTGTAGCACAGTGTATGTATTGCAGTCTGTTGTAGCACAGTGTATCAAACATGACGTGGAGGGGCATGTGTATCAAACACACACACACTCCACCCCCCCCCCTTTCCTAGTTTCGCCATATGAGAAATGAAGATCTAACTCCGTGACACTCAACCTTTTTAACGCTGCGACCCTTTAATACAATTCCCTCCTGTTGTGGCGCCCTCCCCCACCCCACCCCCAAACAATTATCTCTCTTCATAACTTCAATAAATGTTTTTCCTATGGTCTTATGCGACCCCTGTGAAAGAGTTGTTTGACCCCAAAAAGGGTCGCGACTGGCAAGTTGGGAACCTCTGATCCAACTGATCGAGTAAAGTGTAAGCTGAGTAACGGGGTATAAGGCTACACACGCGCGCGCGCGCGCACATACACAGACTCACACACCGGTGCCAAGCCACGGATACAGTGTTTACTGGTTTGGTAAAAATACATGGGAAATAACACATATCGAATTACATTGTCCTAACCTATACGCAGTTGTTTCCCTCTAACTTTCACCCTTGATTCAATATAAATAAACAGAGGGGGGAACCATTTGAGGCCGTTAAATATTATGAATTAATCAAGTAACAGAAAGTATTGTGAACGGCACTCATAGAAAGAAGTTACTTGATTAA